CTGAAGCAGTGGCCAAAGGTTCCAGCTCCTCCCTTTGAAAAGCTGACCTGTTCTTTAAATGTTTAAAGAGCCTATTGCATCATCAGTCCTCGCCCACACATGCATGTTTGGGTGAATCCGGGGGGACGCATGTGGGTAGATGTTGTGATACATCATGTGTTTAAGCAGTGGAGGGGAGGCCTGGGTTGTTCGGGGTTAATGACTGTCCCTCTCTGTGGGCTGTGCCGGCTCTCGGAGAGGATAAGACTGGTGGTGTAAGGGCATCTGGAACGCAGGGGTCACATCGCTCACATCAAAGGAGACTGGGGAGTCTGGGTCAGGATGTTTGGCCATGGGGTGCTGGAGAGAGTGGAGGAGTCACTGGATGGATTGGGAACAGGATCACGAGGAGTAAAGGAGATGAAGAGGTAGAGGGATGGGTAAAGACAGTGAAGGAGAGAGCCCACAAGTGGAGGGTTAAGTGATAGGGGTAAGGAAAATGGAAAATGGACAATGCTGGGTTTTTTTTCTCTCCAAATAGTTCATGTTACAAAGTAATCCACCAGGAATGCACACTTGCATACTGTATATGTGATTAGCCAATGCAGCGCTTTGCCAGATGACGACAAACTGCATTGAATGAAAAATCTGAACCAGATCCAACTTTTATTAACACATGCTGCTGCATCCTTTTAGCATTGCCTCACGCGGTGCTCGTCCCATCTGCATAACACACTTCCCCCATTTAAATGAACACAGAGTAAAGTTTGTGTGGATGTGACCTTAGATTGGTGGAGGCACGCAGGCCAACAGGACGACCAACAATGAAAGGTTGAAAACCAGTTTGTAACTGGAAGGGCTGACTGCAGACCAGGCCACACAACTGGATGCACGCAAGCCTTCTCACACCAGAGAACAGGAATAAGCTCCACACTATCTGCTGACAAGTGATAACACTAACAGGTTGGCTACAGGTCTGTGACTAACGCTATTGGTTGTCACACTTAAGGTAACGTTAGGAAATGAGCTGTTCCAGCTGACAGACATGCTTCTCTAGCAGAGACACCCTACTGTATCGGCAAAAACGGAACAGAGCATCAGAAGAGTGTAGAGATTACACAGAAATGAGTAGGAGCAGAGGCAGACAGCAGTTGTTGATTATGATATGCATTATTTTCATTATTCTACCTGTCATTCACTTTCAACACTACGTGAAAATGACCACAAACAAAGGTGAGTGGATTTTAAAATGAGGTAGGGAAATTGAGATTTGCCAGTCAATTTTGAGTTATGTGGTACTATATATACAGAATACTACTGTATAGTACATGTCACCACTGCTGCAACCCAACATCTTCAGATGAAACTATTTCAACTATTGGACCATTTATGCTGTTGAAAAGAAAAAATGTTAGTGTGAAAACAAAACTGACCTACCTTCAGACTTATTTGGAAGGTAGGCTGTCACACTGTCATGATTTAAAGGGACACTGAGGCATTGTCAATGTTGTTAGTAACACTTGTGCTTGTCTGCTGTGGAAAAGGCCGATCATGCTATGCTCGCAAGACTGTCCATGCTGTTTCCTGTTTTGGTTTCTTGTATTTCACCTGGCAAAATCTGGTCAGGCTGCACCATCAAGCAGAAAATTGTTGCTCTTTTTGTGTTGGTTTTTGTACAGTTGATTCTGATGCACTTGCAGCCATCAGAAACCACCACTGTGACTGACTGAATCAGTAGGTTTTAACAGTGGAGGTCCCGTCACTGGTAAGTGAGAGTGCCATTGTCAGATCAGCTATGAAACACACCCTTCTTAAAAATGATTAAGACAGAAAAAGCCACAGCAATCATGTTTCACAAACTTGACTATTAACCTTTCTGACAGGACTTATTGGCTTTGAGCTGAATGTGGTGAAACAGCTTGAACCAGTTACAGAATGAATGTATAACTGAACTGAAACAGTCAGTATCAGCACCAAAGGTTGTGGTGGTATGAACGGTAATGCATCAGTTTACTGATACACATACTGAAATGTGTTTGAACGGTGATTCAATCATTTAGATTAGAAGTTAGTTAATGATGTAGTCATGACCATGAATCTTTGAACTTAAGAAAATGTATTGAATGGGAAAAGTGATTGGGAAATTTCGCCTTTGGTGACCACACCTCTATCAGTAAAGTAGGTGCAGGTGTTTTCAGTTATACTGATTAGACCTTCGCTTGAAGGTGGGCAGGGTTATGCTGAAAATCATGTGAGGTCACCACACTTTATATAGCAATAAGAATGATAAAGGTGTCATTTGTTCTGCCCAGGCAGGTGGTACAAAGATAACGGGAAAGTCAACGGCCCTCAGTCTGCACATGCCAGTACAAGAGAGGAGCAACTACAATACACCTTCAAAAATGGAAACATGCATCGAGAACACACAAAAGAACAATGTGTCAATGCTTTAGATTTATTGTCGGTATTCTGTTATATACATGTTTATTTACAAAGCTAGTCCTGTATTTCAATCTTATTTTGATACCCTTTGACAGCCTTCTGCTAATCTCGTTTTTTATATAAGTATGATTTGAAAATCTTATAAACAATCATAAAAAAACAGGCTATAAAAAGAAAAGAGTCCATCTATCTTTGATACATGCAGTAACAAGTTGACTTACACTGGTGAAAAATAAATAGTATTGACAAATAACATTCTATCGAGTACAAGCATTTAAACCAGCTTTGTCCACATGTAAAACTTACCTCTAACTTTGTAGGGTGACACTGACCTCTGCTTGTGTCTCAAGTAAATTTGTTTGTGTTTTCAAATTTACATTTTAGGTGGTGTCCAACTGTTACTTTACATGCTGATTTAGTTTGATGATCAGAGAAGTGCCATTTGAGGATTAATACTGTACTTAAAACTTGAGACCACACATATTCACTGGGTACATGACTGCATGAAAACATAAGTCACACAAAAATACAAGGAGTAACTGCTCTCACAATTTGCAGGATGGTTTTGACAGAAAAGGTTTTAAAAGTAGAAATCTTTGTCAAACTATGTGAGATTACAATGTGATGCTGCACTGTTATAGTTTGTCTCTACTGATCAAAATGAGATTTGGATGATCTAGAGTCACGTTTGTTTCTGGTGCATTTGTCGATGTCAGGTAGCGTATAGACGCGAACAAAAATGAGCTTCAGCCAGTGCGTGAAGGGGGCACATTACACAGTGGGATGGGTCCCAATGGGCAAAAGGGTGCAACACTTAAACACCTGGGAGTACAGCGATGGCTCTTTTTGAAACCAAAACATATTTAATCACATACAAACATTTAAAACCACATGTTTGCACCATGAATTTGTTTCATTAGTGCAAATGACAACCTTTATTTTGATGCCAACAGGAAACACGTTATATTATTGTAGGCTTATACTGTATGATGAATTTAGTTTGATGATCTTTTGTTGTTTATTGGAATATCAGTGAAAAAGAAGTGTGAAATCACAGATTTGTATATTGTTGCATGCTCTGCTTTTTTGCTTTTGATAAGCCTAGACAAAAGGACAGATTTAATTTGCCATTATTTGAAGAAAGAACACTTAAATCAGGTGCATTATGCATTATTATCCTAATTTCTCCCATTCTGGTTAGAATTTCTTCAGTGTTTGTGTTGTGGAACCACCGCTCAACCTGTGCTCAGTGTTATCCAATGGCACTGGAAGCAGGCTTACAATGTGATCAACACATGAAGCTCTTCCACCATAATGACAGTAACATTGTCCAACTGCTAATCTTAGCTGTGATCAAATAATTTTGAGATAGCTGCATTTATGTCATTTCAGCACCTTGGGGCAGAGGGGCACCACAGAAAGGTAACAAACCCACAGCCTTGACATAAAGTATTATCAAGTTGTAATGTGTTCACAACCCAAAGCCTGTTTATACATAAAGTAGAGACACAGAAAAACACTTATATACATTTTTTGTTTGTTTCTGGCCTCCAGATGACTGGATGTCTAATAATCACTACAAATCTGATTAAATGTTGATATAAAAATATGGATTTGTGGATATAGATATTGATATCAGTAGAGGAGCTTTAGGTTCTGATGGTCCATTGTTTTAAATGTATGATTTCTCACAAACTTCTTGCTTTGCTGTTCACTTTCCTTTTACTTGTTAGAAGGTCCACATCCAACAATATTAGCTGACGACTCTATATGCTTAGCTGTAACACTGCATCCTGAGAGCTTCTGCCTGAAATGTCTGTGCATATATAATTTCTTAAATTGAAGTATTGTAATGTCTCTGTTTTGTGGCATGAAGATGAACTTTTTGATGTGCATGTAAATGTACCCAAGAAACAAATACTCCTGACAGATTTAAGAGCAAGCAAATTCAACAGAGAGCCACAACAAAAGCTCCTACCTGCTTATTCATTTTTAACTTATAACACTTTTACTACAAAGTCGTTAACTACAAATACTAAAAAGAAAATGAGAACTCGGGCTAATGTGACACAAGGCAGTTGTCCTTTTTGCACAAATTTGCATCATGAATACAAAAAATGCAAAATGAAGAAAACATATTCTTTTGTCTCTGAAACAGTGACTTCCAAAAAACTGCTGCAGGAAGATATCATCAATGTGAGGACTGCTGGCAAAGCGTCTGCAGCATTTTGCTTCTTCTGATCAGTGTCTGTTCGTTCTTTGTCTGCACTTGGGCTGTCTTTGCTTAAGTTCTGCTCCAGCTCCTCTTTGATCCTATTTATGTTATTTCCTTATATATTCTTATAAGTGCAGATGCCGTTACAGCAAGGTAAGTGATAAGATGCTTGCTCTCGCAGTCAACACCATCTTAGAAATATCCAAACTTGAGTCAGTGAACCAACACTAATCTCATTAAGATGAACATTAACACATCCTTTAAAAATATAAATACAAATTTATCAAACTCTGCCTTATTTTGGTCCTTATTTGTTTTTTCTTTGAATAATGTTATTTTTTGAGGAAGGAAAAAAAACACTTTTTTAGCTGTTCTCATTCCACTCTGGCATGATGCTGATACTGTGCACAGTGTGGTACTGGTGTGGTGAGAGAGTACGTGGGATGCTGTGTGTATAGAGGTACTCGTTTCCCTGTAGGCTGGTTGTTGGTGACTGGATCCCAGAGCCAGGACTGCACTGGTGGCCCAGACTCTGGTGGGTCATGGAGCTCTGGTACATGGCCGCGTGGTGGCCGTCACCAAGCTGTGGTGAGGCGTGGCCAAGTCTGGAAACCAGAGACCCTGAGGAGAAGTGAGTGGAGAGGTGCTGGTAGGGCAGCCGCTCCAATGGCTGCATGGTGGCAACAGAGCAACTCCCGTAGGGTGAGACACTGGCCCAAGTGTTACAGCTGATGTCTTCCAAACTGGGAACAGGCTCAGCGCCCTGCGAGGCACTGGCATACATACAGGCCTGTCGCTGGCTGGATTCACTGCGGTAGGGGGCACCAGCCAGG